CACTCGCCCATAGTCATAGTGTAGCAGTGATTGAAATGTGGTGGTTCTAATCCTCAACCTCTACCACTACTCGGTAGCTGAACCTACTAATATATTATATAGTTAGATTGCTTTAGTATTTTAGTGAACTGGATTCTACTGCTACTTTTGTTTTATGGTCCCGTGGGAATATAGCTGATCATTATTAAATATTGATAACAGTGATCTTGCTTTCAAGTAATAAGCTGACACGTTATGTTTGATTTCATTAGCCTTCTCACAAAACAAGGAGCTTGCCCTGGCAACATGAATTGTTTGAAGACAGCCTTAGAGCTGCAGGGATTTCTGGAGTGGAAGTTGGCACCAAGTTATATGTTTCCAATTTGGATCCTGGGGTCACAAATGAAGATATCAAGGTAAAGTGGTACCTTTATGACAACTTTAAGTGTATGGTTCTTTTTATTAGTATTTTTTGAGAAACACCCTGAAACTTAATCCACATGACAGGAACTTTTCTCTGAGATTGGAGAGCTGAAAAGATACTCGGTACATTATGATAAAAACGGTCGTTCAAGTGTAAGTTTCATCTCTTATGCCAATTGCCTCTGGTATTCTATTAAAGTGATGGATGTCATGCCATTGAATCTGACCCAACCGGTTTTGGCATGTTGACGTTTTGGAAGGACATAACAGTAATATTTAAAAATCACAGGGATGGTTCTACTGTTTGAATTGTGCACTTTAATGAATAAAGAATTGGCTTAACTCTTAAGTTAATGCTTGTAGCAACTACTTGTTGTGAAAACTTCAGCAATTCTATTGCATGAATTGTGCATATTAATTGGTAAATAATTGTGTTATTTTGTATCAAATGAAGAGCTTTTAGCAATTGCCTTTTGCAAACATGCTAACTCTTGGATTTTTTTTAAATTATTTCATAATGCTTTAGATTTTCAGGCCGTTTTTCTTTTTTACTTTTAACTATTAATTCTTGGATTTTTAGTTTTAAATTCTTGTTATGCCTCTTCTGATTAGTATTTGGTTTAAGGTGAACCCATATCCTTCCTTTTTTTGCTCCTTGTGCATGTTTGGATGTGTAAAGATGTGCTTAAAGCTTGGGAGTTGAGGGTGATTTCTTTCCTTGTTTAATGATGAAACATGCTTTCTGACTAGCCCTTTGCCTTTGTATTCTAATTTTCATTCTCCTTGATATTTTTCCCATTCATATGTACCAAATATTTTACATGGTTTTCTTATTTCGGTGTCAAATGTTTGTTACTTGGATGGTGTTTGATTTATGTTTTCAGGGTTCTGCTGAAGTTGTCTATCTTAGGAGGAGTGATGCATTTGCTGCTCTTAAGCGGTACAACAATGTATTGTTGGATGGAAAACCCATGATAATTGAAATTGTTGGTGCCAATGCAGAAGTCCCTGTTTCAGCTCGTGTTAATGTAACTGGAATAAAGGGAAGGAAGAAGAGGACCGTTGTTATGACGTATGTGATTCTATGTTCTTTCTGTCTTATTTGACTGTTATGACTGATGTGATTTAATATTCTTCTTTATTTCTTTCTATGTTTTAGTTTACCAATAAGTTTTCCAGTTCCTGTTTTGAATTCATTTCCTGGAATGCATATTCATGTCTTATCAAATTTTAGTTACTCTTTTTAAGCCCTGGTCATTGTTGAAATAAGCCTGAACCCTCATCTAGAATATATGTTTTTAAGCATCCATTCAGTTTTAGTTGTCTAAGCTTTATTACATGGATTCATCATTTAAGGTGGCATACTAGTATCAATTCAATATGAGAGGCTGCAGATATGGAATATGCATTTAATACCGTATTTGGCGTACAGTTTTGGATTATTGACACAAGGCAATTCAAATACCAAATGAAGAAAGTATATGCAATGGACTTCGGTAGCTGCTTGTTGGATGTGAAAATATTAGACCTGAAAAACTCCTAAAAAACACCTGGCCACCTGAAAACAGTCAGATTATGCTTAAGAGGAATGATTGTAGGACTATGGAAAGAGAGCTAGGAAAGGGAAATGATAAATCAAAATGTATATGTTGTTTATAGAGCTTGGTCTGCGAACATATTTCTATTTGCAAGTTTTGAAGTTGCTGATAGTTAGCTTCCTTTTTTCTCCCGACACTCTGTCTATTCCTTGATGACTGATTAATTTACTTTCTTTGTACTTTTTTTACCATTTTACAAGAACTTCACTAATAAGTAATTATGCAGGCCTGGAGCAGGTCAATCGAGAAGCTCTACTGGAATTAATCGTGGTCCTAATCCTATGTAAGTTACAGTTAATTCTGACACCTGTATAATATAGATTTCCATTTCTTAATATACATATGTATATTATAATTGGCATTAAGTTATTCTAAAATATGATAAATAAGTTGCTAATTCTTCTTTCTTGTAAGATGTTTGCATAAGCTTGAATGTGAAACTTTTCATGTGAGTGTTACTTGGCTTTATTAGAAGTGGGAATAAAAAGGAGGGGAAGGAAAGCATCAGTTCTTTCCTGCCATTTTCAATTCTACCGAACACATTGTCAGATAACTTAGCTTGTGAGTTGAGCAATTTTTTAAGTTACTGGGACTTGCTCTTGTAGATGACTCCCCCAATAATCTAGGGCTTAATCTAAATGATTCACCCACCTTCCTTGGGAGGCAAATTTTCTTATGGTTGGGGGTTAGATTCTTGGCATTTGCAAATTCTCCCTCTGCAGTTCCTTGGGGGCCTTGGCCTAAATACTGTCCTTAGCCCTTCCTGTATTTTGCCTTGAGCCTGTTGTTTCGAGTTTAAAAGCTAAAACAAAATCTTAGAGCAATTACATCTTACAGTCTTTAAATTTTTCAATAGGTGTGCCAATATTGTCGTAGTTTTTGAGTTGGTTTACCATAACCATATATACCTCCCGCAAGGGAGACTGCAGTGGTGAATATTATAGATGGAACAATTACATGTGCTTTTTATTTTGGCTTATTGTGCGTTCTTTACAGATTAGGGGTGGTGGATGAGTATGAACTGATTGAAAGCCTTTTAAACTTCATCTTCCACCAGATTTCTTTACATTGATAAGTGGTTGGATTTTGGTATCTGCTGTTAATTTACTAGTTGCTGGATCTTGTTGCAGCCGTCGTGGGGGTATGGCTATGAGGAATGTCCGTGGTGGAGGTGGTCGTGGTAGAGGCCGTGGTCGTGGCCATGGAAAAAGGAATCCTGCAGAGAAGTCGGCAGATGATCTTGACAAGGAGCTTGAGAATTATCATGCTGAAGCCACGAATGTTTCCTGAAGTTTCAGACCATATGGATTATTCGCAGTATTTTTGGTTAGCTATCTTCTCAAAAAATGGTGGTTTTAGTGCTGCGCTGTACTTTTGTATGTTGGATGGTTTACTTTTGGTTTAATTATTAGTTATTTTCAAGTGTTTTGTTTTATTTAGGTAGATTTCAAGCTTAGTTGTAACTTAAAATGGGATTAAGAACTTGGCTTAATGTGGTTTGCAAGAACTTTTACTCTATGCCTGTGCTGCTGAGCTAATATATCACTGCCCATTGAGCTGCATTTTGAAAGTCGATATTTATGGAACGAAACCCCTCAAAATTAAAGCGTATAAATACGACATATGGAACATTTTTTTTTTTTGGTTAAGTGAAAGGAGAGGGGCTGTTTAGGACTAAATTAATGATATAATATTAGTAAATCATAAGTTCGATTGATCGAAAGATAAATCTTCGAACATGAAAAATCTGAAAAGGCATTATGTCGTGAATAGATAAATATTTATTAAGGGCTAAGAAAATTGTAAACATGTATTGTTTTTGTAATCATTCTAGATTATTTAAAATAATGTTAATATTTATAAATTAAATTTTAAAAGAAATTATTTAGAATTCATTGAATGATTTGGTGATAAAGGGGAATATTATTTTTCATAAAAGATTTAGATTTGAACAATTACGTCTGTAGAGTATGTGTACATTATCAATAAGTGAAACAATATTTTATAACTATAAATTCATTCCCGACCAGATAATACTAAAAAATTTATTAATAATTAGAGCGCCTCAATAACTTATTTTCTCAAGGTATGTTATTTCCGCCTACTTAGACTTTGCATGTCACCAACATCCAGTGGTAGATTTAGATTTCATATCAAATAAGTTCAAGTATATTTATTTATTTTTCTCATCCAAATTCTCAACTTTTTACAAAAAAAAAATTATAAACTCAAGTGGGATCAACCAACTCCAATAAATTACACGTAAATCTACCTGATCAGTACCTCCCTCCCAAATGATCTACAGCAACTCTAATTCAATTGCAAGGTATACAAGAAACATTGGTACTACGGTACTTCAAGCTTTTAAATCTTTAGCAAATAGAAAGAAAAAAGAAAAGGACATTGAAAACAATCAAGGGAAAGAAAGGATTTTTTTTGGTTATAAAAGTTGAGTGATAAAGTGGACAATTGTTGAAAATGGGTAAATATAGATTAAATATGTAGAATATTAAAATGTTGAGAGATAATTTAAGAATAAAAATAAAAAATATATAAAATTAAGAGTTAAATTTATTATTAAGTCAAATTTGTTAACTATCATATCATTTTTTTAATAACATGAGATGATTACAAGTTAATAATTTAAAAATTCTCTTAGCTTATTATTAATAACGCACATATACTTTACGGACACAACTGTTTGAACTTATATATTTTCAGAAAAATAGTATTTCCTTTTACCTTTGAGATCACTCAATAGGTTCACTATCATGCCATCTTCATTACTTCTTTAACAAAAAGGATCAACTTGTAATTTTCTATCAATTCGGGTGACTATTTTGTAGCTTTTTATAATTGAAGCATGTAACTAAAAAATAGTTATAGTTGGGAGATCATCTGATTATTTTATCCACAATTTCATACTAATAAAAGGAAAAAAAAAATAAAGGTGAGCAAGTAGCTGGGCAGGCCAGGCCTAGAGCAGTGTTGAGGAGTAAAGGAGTGTTTGTCTTCCCTCACCTTCATCCTCCAATCTTTTCCAAATGTTGTGAAACAAATAAAGAATCAAAAAGAAATGTAAATGACTGATGGAATTTTCTGGGTCATCAGCCTCCACTTAATTTAACTTTCTCCTGATTATTCTATATGTTCTCTTCTTATAGTACTACTGCTACTCGTATATAAACAAAAAGAAAGAGAAAAATCTTAATTCAGAGCTAAAGAGAACAAAAAGAAAGAAATTCCACCCACAATGGGTTCCGAGCAGAACAGATTCCCCCAGCAAGAGCGGGTACATTCTATTTTTTCCCGTACCTTGTTTAGATCTGTTCATTTTGCCTCCAATTTTGTCTCAGATCTGATTTCATTTCTGCTGCTACTTGTTACTCTATTGTGCTCAGATTTGCTTGCTAGTTGTAATATGGTGTTCTTTTTTTTTCTTTAAAAATAGTGAAAATCAATTGGAAGGAGGAGGAGAAAAAATTATCTGAGCTGGGCCCATTTGATTGAGACCTATGTACACTCTTGATAAAATGCTGGATTCCTTGGTGTGGTTGATTTTCTTCTTTGTGCTTTGTTTTCGTTGAATTGTCTTTAGTTATCGGAGTTTTAATTGTTTCGTTTTTCTTTGATCGTACATACATGTACTTGGTTTCTTTCGCTCTTTGTTCATCTACAGATCCAGCTACTTCACTACTTCCAAAGTTCAAATTCTGTTTACCGAATAATTTTTGTCGACGATAGTGAACTTTTTAAGATACATAGATCCCTTCTCTCGAGTCTTGAACGTGATTTACCTAAAATCTCGTCGTTTGACAGCATCATCTTCAACTCTGATTGTAAATCTAACTTTAACGAAAGCTCAAACTTGCAAATACGGCATTGCGAATTTAATTAACCATGCCTTTGGCACTTAGGCTTTAAGGATGCCTTCTTCTCTTTTTCTTTTACTTTTACTTAAAGTTCTTGTTCTTCTTCAGGGACCGTGGGTTTTCTGTTCTGGGTTATTAGGTTGAAACACCTGGGTTTGTATTATCATTTATCACTAGGTTTTACCAGCATAGAATAAGTTACATGACACACGATTCAGCATCTTTGTAACGATTTGCTCCCTCCCGTTTGTTTTTTTGTTTGTATATGCGAAATCTGGGTATTTGTTATATGCATCGTCTTTTAATGTTGCAGTAGATGTAGAGATATTTCTAGTGCTTGTTTATCTGTTTCTGAATTTTGTATGATTTTTTTAGAAGTTATGGGGATTGCTGGTTTTTACTTGTTTAATTTCAATTTTCCTTTCTAGTATCTGACGTAATATGTTGATGTTTAATCTTGTTGTTAGCAGAAGAGATGGGGAGGATGTTGGGGGGCATTTTCCTGTTTCGGTACACCAAAAGGTGGAAAACGTATTGTACCTGCATCTCGTATGCCTGAGGGCAATGCATCAGCCGCCCAACCAAACGGTTCTCAGGCTGTTGCTGGGTTGACCAATCAAGCTACTTCATTAGCTCCATCGCTTCTAGCACCGCCTTCTTCCCCAGCTTCATTTTCCAATTCTGCCATCCCTTCAACTGCTCAATCACCTAGTTGCTTCTTGTCATTATCAGCTAAATCACCTGGAAGGCCGCCATCCACAATATTTGCCACTGGACCATATGCCCATGAGACACAACTAGTTTCTCCTCCTGTTTTCTCAACCTTCACAACCGAGCCTTCCACTGCTCCTCTCACTCCTCCTCCCGAGTTGGCCCACCTGACTACCCCCTCTTCACCTGATGTCCCTTTTGCCCGGTTCTTGACCTCTTCTGCAGATCTTGAAAGTGCCAATAAGAATAATTATATTGCTGCAAATGATTTTCAATCTACATATTCACTTTACCCAGGCAGTCCTGCTAGTAGTCTCAGATTACCAATCTCTAGGACTTCAGCCGACTGTTTGTCATCCTCCTTTCCTGAACGGGAGTTTCCTCCACATTGGGATCCTTCAATTTCTCCCCAGAACGGCAAACATTCCAGGAGTGGTTCTGGCAGGCTATTTGAGCATGATGTAACTGGTTCCTCTATAGGGTCTCAAGATACTAATTTCTTTTGTCCTGATACATTTGCACGATTCTATCTGGATCAGAATCCACTTCCTCACCCTGTTGGGAGATTAAGTGTTTCAAAGGATTCGGATGTTTACCCTACCAATAGCAGTGGGCATCAAAGTAAACAGAGTAGAAGTCCTAAGCAAGATGTAGAAGAACTTGAAGCTTATAGGGCTTCCTTTGGATTCAGTGCTGATGAAATAATCACTACTACTCAATATGTGGAGATTACTGATGTTACAGACGATTCGTTTACAATGACACCTTTCCCTATAGATAAACCTGCTGAGAGTACGGAACTTGCACCGGTTGCCAAAGGACCAAAGGCAGAGAGGTTACAGGAAAACTCTTTGGGTGATATGAAACGAAAATCAAAACCTGATGTTGTCAATTGGGCTGGACACCATGATGTGCAAGTGTCATGTAATGGATATGAAGGTAAAATGTTCTCTAGTTGATCTGAAGTTCATTTATTACTCTGGCATTTGGTTGGTTGTCGAGAAATCTTGCGACTACAGTTTTACTGAAACCTTGGCATCTTCATATTTAACCTTCTAAGAATTTTGGATATCATCTGGACTGCTTCAGCACTGTAATGGGATTCTCATGCATCCTAGTTATTGTGCCCTGTTACATGAAAATCAATAATGTTCTCTCCTAATATGGTGTAGATCAAAAATCAAGGGGGCAGGTGGCTGATGTCTCTGGATCAATTACACCTATCAACCATCCCTTGACCGATGAAGAGGATGTACTGTTGAAGAAGAGTTCGTCAAGGAGCAGGAAATATCAAATGGGCTTGTCATGCTCTGATGCGGAGATTGACTATAGGAGAGGAAGAAGCTTAAGAGAACGTAGATTTTGAATTCCATGACTAAGAACCAACTAGAGAAACAAGTAAGTTAATCCAGCTGCTCCCAGATGTAGTAAAACTGCAGTGTTCTTTAGTTATAACTCGTGTTAATGGTTCTCTCTTTCTTTTGTTGTCCATCTCTGGGTCAGATATGTGACTTGATGTCTCTGATTATGAGTGTATTCTGTTACATTGACCCTAGCTTCCTACTTCACTGTGATTTACATGTTATGTGATGCATGTAATTATTTCTATATTATACTTTTGTAAAATGCAATTTACAGCTCAGTTTACATGTTCAATGGTGCATGTATTTTGTGTAATGGATCACATCTGTATATTAATGCTTGATTATGTGGGGATTCGTATCTGTATAATATAACGTGAGAGCCGAGCCGAGAGAGTAATGTTTTCTATGGGTGGAAACTGAGTTTTTGAATACATTTTACTTAATGAAAATGTGATTATATTAACTAACTTTATACCCTTTGAGGGTATGTTGCCAGTGCTCTTGATTTCTACCCGCCTAAGGGTCAGGTGTGCCTACGTACGGAACCACACTACGAAACGATGTCATAGGTTGTGCACAAACAAAAACATCTAGACTCATGAGTCTCACCGGCGAAAAGCAAATTCAACCAATCGATATAATATCACATAATTTATTTTGTTGTATATATCATATTTTCTATTTTTTTAAAAAAAAAATCCTTTAAACAGATTTAAACCATTTTTTTGCTTTTACCAAACAATAGAAATTGCAGAAAAACAGCAAAATATGTAATGAGCTCTGAATTCATTATATTTTACCTTGCACGTTTAAAAAAAGGAAGATGGTTACCTTATTCAACCAAAATTCCCATCGTTCCAAAGAATACCAAATCATGTAAATTCTCAATTCCAATCCCTTCCTGCGAGAAGGGGGTTTGTGAGAGATTTCCCAAAATGTACTTCAAACCAAAATGATGGTGCCAACGGCATCAAAGAGGTTCATGTTGTTGGCCTTGTAATGGTAGATAAACCGCGACCTACCGGAACAACTCCTTGAAAGCCTTCACTTGATTCTTCCTCTTCTAAGGAATCTGTTTATAGAAAACAAAGTAAAAATGAATAAAAATATAAAGAAGAATAATCTGAGGCAGGTCCTCACCTGTAGTATCTTCACCGGCATTAGCCCCTGCAATTCCCAATACACGAGTACAAAGAATCTTCATCCACTTTCAGCTGGTCATAAGCAAGGTAGATGTCTTCAATAGAAGCACCCTCATACAGAGATGTAAGCTCTTTGATGCATGATATGTCCTGAATTCCACAAATTTGGAATTTTTTACCATGACCATGAGTCTAATAAGAATTAGTTCTTACACAAGTATTATGACGTGTGTTATTTTATGTGGCTATGTAGTTTGAAATTGGTGTGAAAGAATGTGTTTCAGGTGGGGGAAAAACAGAATTTAGCTAGCTTTCATTTGTTTAAGTTTATAAACACAATCCTTAAACCCGCAGGCAAAGCGGACTCTTTTCATGAGACACGAAGCAGAAATTAAGTCAAATGTGTATTGGCTTGGAGTATTGGCTCACCTGCAAGCTTCTTCTGTTCCTAGAAAGGTGAAATGAAATTAGATAGTTCAGTCTTTATATTCTTATTTTCCAATATTTCATACTTTTTTTTAATGTGAAAAAGATTGTACCGACATTTTTGTAACACATCACTAGTCCCGTGCTTTCAACATCATAAAAACCTATACTGTGTAAAAGAAGCTGGTTTTGAAATTCAAGGTAACTATCAATTGTGATTACAATCTGTCATGCCTAAGAGAAGAAATCTAGAAAATTATGCTCATGGTATTTAATAGTTTTAACACCCAATAAGAAAGAGAAATAAACATTCAAGCATGCACTTATAATGTTAGTCAAGATGGAGTATGACTTTATCTCAGAATTCTTTTACATCCTTAAAAACAAGAAGCTGCTAAAGTTGAGAGGGAATTATACCTGTTTGCTGGATACTTTATTTGGCAAAATAAGGTAGCGAAGGCCATTTTTCAATTGTCCTCGGTGCAACTTCGGGTGGGAAGGAAGTTCAGCACACAAAAAACCCTCTAGTTCAGTTGTTTGTAATTGAGGATATAATGAATCAAAATCTTGCTTTGCAAGAAGACCAGCTGGCAAGGCAGTACTTGCTGCATGCGGTTCATTTGGACCAACAGTAGCACATAGAGGACGGATATAATTGCCCTGAAACAATTGCTTAATAAGATGAATGAATTGAACAAATAACACTCTAGGATTTTTTTGTTTTTTGGCACTACACTGAAGCAGTTGAAAGCAGCATAAGAAACAAATAATTGGTACTTAGACGAGTTTTGAATGTGTGGGCAGAGAGAGGAAAGCAAGATCTCTGGCGAAAGAACGACGGCAAAGATTTTGAGGTAGGAAACGGTGTGGTCTTGCCGTAGCAGTTGCGGCTAAGGGAAGAACAGCAGCTACGGCAAGAACAGCAGGGAACCCAAGTTTTCAACTGTTGTGAGCTTGAGACAGAGGCGCTCCATTTCCATGCTTTGGGAGCATCGCTCGTCTTCTTCTTCATCATCTTCAACTTCCTAACCGTATTATTATTCCTATTCTGGTATAATTCAATAGAATTCATATCTCTAACGTCACCCAGCCACCTTCATGCACCATAACATGCCCATTTTAAATCAGGGTTAGCTCTCTTAAAAAATGAAAAGCAATAAACTCAATAAATTTGAACACTTTAAAACGAAGACCAATACATGAACCACAATTACACCCAATACAAAAATAAGAACAATAAAAATAAGAGTTTACTGGGAAGCTGCAGGGGCTGAAGCTGAGGGAAAGTGGAAACGGGTCAAAGAAAAAGAAGCGGCGGGAAGGGGGATGTTAACCCTAACCATGCTTCTCCTCCTTTTGGAAACGGAAGAGTCCCATCGGGTTTGAGGGACTTGGATTCCCGCCATCACCAACGAGCTTGTCGACGTTGCCATGGCTCGCTACCCAGCTGCGGCTGCTAAACGAGCTTATTTGTATTATTTAGTAGTTGAAGATGATAACTAATTATTTATGTGAGCTCCTAAAAACTACAGGAAATGAAAAGCTAATAGGAAAAAGCCCAGTTGAATATATAAATTCCCTTTGCTTGTGTTATTAGACCGATGATTGGTTAATGTGTTTGACTCGTAAATACCGATGCATTTAAAAATGTTCTTTTCAGGATAAATATATATATATATATATAATGTATATAAAACATATACAAATAAAATTAAAGAATTAACACAATTAATAAATTTAATAATGAATTAAAAACGTCAAATTTAAAAATAAATATTTATCTATCCTAACATTGACGTGCATCCATAATTGTCTGAACTGTTTAAACCGAATTGCTCGAGCCATCCAAAAGGAAAAACTTGGAAGGGAAATTCAAGCCTCAAGTCACAACCGTCGTGGTCCTTTTCGATTCACAACTATCTTATTCAGTATTGTGTCGTGTCGGTTTTAAGCTACAATAAAACGGTGTCGAGTGTCGAGACGTATAAAAATTAAAGGGTAAATTCAACATCTAATCACATAACTATTCCCTCACTCTTTTTTAGTCATCGTAGTTTTATTTTGGGTAAATTACACAATTCCTTACTGAACTATATTCTCTCTCCTAGTTTATTCATTGTACTTTCAATTATTCTAATTCACACACTGAACTTTCGAATTGTTCTTGTTTTGATCACTCTTAACTATTTTATTATTATTTTTGAATGACGTGACATTTTTATTACTATTTAATTTAAAATAATTGAAAATATAAAATAAAAACAAAAGGTGGTCGGACGCCACCGTCGACCGCCGTAGATGGTGGTCGTTCGGTCCCAAATTTCATGGGTCTTGTTCGTCTCGACACCCTGAGTCCGAATTCGCCTTCTATTTTGCCGGAACTTGCTCTGAAGTTTCCTCACTTTCGATCTCCAATTTGTGGACTTCAAAGCAAGTTCCAGCAAAATGAAGGATGGATCCAGACTCTGGGGGTTGAAATGAACAAAACCCCTGAAATTTGGGATCAAAAAGCCACCATCTACAGTGGTCAGCGGTGGCTCCCGACCACCTTATATTTTTATTTTATATTTTCAATTATTTTAAATTAAATAATAAAAATATCACATCATACAAAAATAATAATAAAATAATTTAGAGAGATCAAAACATGAGCAATTCAAAAATTTAGTGAGTAAATTAGAAAAATTGAAAGTACGGTAAATAAAATAGGAGAAAGAGTATAGTTCAATAAGAAACGATGTATTATACTGTTTAATTTTTTCAATTTACTCATTAAATTTTTTATTTGCAATGGATGCTGAGATCCGTCCAGGAATTGTTATAGATTAATACATCGGCTTTGTGCAGCAATAAACTCTCCTCGCTCGTGACGAAGAGTAGCATTAGAAACCAATTCATCAACGATAAATTCATATTTGCTTGTGATAATGCTCAGCTGAATAACTTCAGAAGTTATGTGTAATTTTAAAGTGAAACGGACTGTCCTCATTTAATAACCGTGGCCAATGGAAACACCCTGCAATTTGGGGTAATTGGAACCTTTAGGTTCTTTATGTTTGTATAACAAGATTTTAATTCCTATCTCTTTCGTCACCCAGCCACCTTCATGCACCATAATGTTCCAACAAGTGGTGGAACAACAAGGTAATAATTTCAGTACATTACTACAACACGAATAAGACATGTAGTGGGTAATTTACTTGAAGAGATAAAAATGTTGTTTTTATTGCAAATAGTGAGAGTGACTAAGCATTGGTGTTCCAAGGGTAACAAATATCATACTTGGAGGTTCCGTAATTAAGCATACATGGACCGTCGGGCCTTACATTCCACAAGCAACGATTACAAAGACGTGAATCCCTGTTTTGCACGTAGATGTCGAACCAATGCGTCGTTCCGTCCCATTCCATTCTGCAGTAAAACAAGGTGACCCCCCAGAAGTGTGGTCGGAACTTGAACTCGAAGTAGTTGCGGTAAGGGAGAACATGGACGCCGAGATCGTCGTTCTTCGATTTGCAATGGATGGTGAGATCCGTCGTGAAATCGTTATAGACCAATATATCAGCTTTGTGTAGCAAGAAACCCGCCTCGCTCGCGGCAAAGAGCAGCACTAGGAACAACAGGAAACCGTTGGACGATGATGGATTCATGTTTGCTTGTGGGTTGTGATGCTCAACTGAATAGCTTAGGGGGTTGTGTAGTTTTAAAGTGAAACGAGCTGCTCTCATTTGATAACCGTGGCCAAATATGGTATCCTAACATAGATGGAAACGCCCTGCAATTTGGGGGAAATTGAAACCATTAGGAATTTTTCTTTTGTACAATGAGATTTCGATTAAGCCTTTACTATGGTTAGTTGACTTTTTTTTTTAAAAAACAAAATAAATTGGAAATATCTCAATTTACCTCATTAATGCAAAAATAATTATTCTAAAAATATACATTACAAAATAATCACTTTTCGACTCATTTTTCAATCACTCAAGATAACAACGAAATCATCGCATTATCTTCTACTATTGTATTAGTTGTGGCTTTATCTAAATCACTTTATAACTCAAACAAATCAACTCTAAATAAAAATTTCTTGAAATCTCAAATCACTTTTATCTATAATATCCTTATTCTATCGATGTAGAATCAATATATATAACTCGTTTTTTCTTTCTCTGCCTTCCAATGTTGGAATTTAAAAAATTTACTTCATCATTGAAAAATCAAAAGGAATTCGAAAATAATTTATATGAAAAAATAAATGGAGTGTTGAATGTATTTTATAAATTCTAAAAATTCAATTATAATATTATTAAGGCATTAAATATTTAACAAAACAATTAAAATAGAAGTAAATGAAAAATATTCGTAGGCTTTATGATGGAGCCGGCTCATCTAGAAACATATTCTTTTAAGGAAATTTCATGCAGGTGTTCTTTGATCGAGAGAGGCGTTTCAATTACGTTTTTGCATGTTATTTTATACCCTCGGTCAGTTGGTTGCATGTTTCTAATATGTTGGTCGATTATGATGAAATGACAGATGATAAGAATATTTAGGGTAAATTAAGTATTTAGTCATCCAACTATTTTTACGGTTATGTTTTGGTCATCCAATTTTTTGAAATCATATTTAAACTTACATTTTGGTTTTATTTTGATCATCTGTCGTTAAAAAATTAGCAATGAAGGTGACTTTTCACCGTAAGATAATGTCACATCATCGTTAAAAAATAAAAAAAAAACATTCACGTCAATAATTCTATTTTTTTAATACATGAAATCAAAATATTAATTTAAGTATAATTTTAAAAAAAGAGAATAAAATGATTAAACGGAATTACAAAATAATTGGACGACTAAATACATAGTTTACATGTTTAGTAATAATCTTATCCTAGATAGGTTAATTTCAATATTTGTTTGTATGCTACTTGGAATTTGGGTTAATATAATATTAGCATGTGAGTTTAAGTTTTTATGTTAAGGAATGTGAATTAGAGTGAAATCATATACGGTTCATATGCAAAGTTTATATTGATATCATGATTATTCAGTTCAGTTAAAAACTATTAAATTATTATTTAAAGGTATAATATATTTTATTTTAATAATGTTTGTCTTTTTATTATTTTATATAATATTTAAATAAATAAAATTAAAACTAATTATTTAAAGATATGAAACCAAAAGGATTTAAAAAATAATAATTTATCACTCAATCTAAAATTATTTGTTGACTAAAATTTTATAATTTTTATTTAATGTGATAAAATCTAATTTGATATAATATAAATTTATTCTTTACTTGTAATATATTTTGGTGAAAGGAGGATATTACATCTTAATTACATCAGGTTTTATCCACTTCCAACATACGTGATACTCACAAGACATGGGATTCAAGGATAGAAGGTGCTGCTCAAAAATGGAAGAGAAAATCATTACTTTATATCATTCTAAGAATAGCTTGGAACGCTTTCAATTACTTGATTTGGGAGGAAAGAAATAGAAGAATTTTCAAATGTGGATCAAAAACAACGGACCAAGTTATTAATTTTGTCAAAGAGTTTGTTCGTATTCAACTTAGTGATAAAGATGTCAGTAGAATTGATAATGTAAATTATAATCTTTGTATCTATTGGGATATAGTCTAGTCTATTTTTTGTTGTAAATAGGGGTTTTTACCCCCTTTTGGGATGTTGGTTGTTTGTTGAACCTTATTCTTGGATAATAAAAATCTTACTTATCCAAAAAAAATTATAACAGAGGAAATCAGCGGGTTGATTGAGGTGGTAAGCAGATTAATATAGCTTAAGTAGGTTTCGAGTTCAATTTAGTTCCTACCATCACCAATATTTAAAATGTAAAAAAATAAAAAGGAGAATCGGGTAAACGAGTTTGTTCATGAACATAAATGAACCGAACGCACATTTGTTCGTATTTTTTGTTTATTAAATGAATATAAATGCTTTTGTTCATACTCGTTTATTTAGCTTAACAAATTATTATAAACGAACGTTATAAGAAAGGTTCACGAATAATTTACCGAACGCTCTATTCATTTACGCTCCTACTCCTTAGACACTTAAAATTAACTTTAGAAACATTAAAAATCTATTTTTAATAAAACAAATCTATAATCACCTAAAACTAACTTGAGTATAGTTTAGGCACTTATTTATACATTAAGCCTTTTTATAAGATCGACATCAACTCAACGGCGTTATCGGAGTCTGGATACGGTTCCTCCTTTGATTTATGGCGGAGGATTCCAATACTTAGCATATTATATGATTTTGTTCGAAAGGAATTCAAAAAGGAAAATGAAAAAGTTAGTAGCAGCGGTGCTCGCAGCAGTTTTGCAGTTATTGCTTGCAACCGCCGCTTCAGTCGACGATCATCATCTCCTTTCTCGTATTGCTTTCGGATCATGTGCCAATCAAAGTGCTCCTCAGGTTTTATTTTCTTTCATTTTTTCCCTTTATAGTTGTTTTATAATTTTTTAAACCCTAAATCCTCTGCATTCAATCCCAACTATCATATCAAGCAAGTAGTCTATTAGTTTGTAATTTGTTCTGTTCCTTCAATCATATATAGCAAAACAAAGCAATTGTTGTGTTATGATGTATTCTTCCAAAAAAAAAATTCAGCCCATCTGGGACGCCATCAACGAATTTGATCCCCAAGTTTTCATATGGCTGGGTGACAACATATATGGAGACATTAGACGTCCTTTCAGCATTTTTGGAAAGGAAAGGACGATTGGCCCCTGGAAGAATGCTCCCAGATTCGTTCCTTCACCTTACTCGGAAATGCTCTCCAGATACAACATGGCTAAGAACGTTCCCGGTTATTCACGTCTCCGTGCTAAGGCTAAGGTAAGCTAAACTAGGCTAAGATAAGGCTAAACACTCACTGGTCACTGCATGTCTTCTGTTCATATGTCCAATCCATATAAATCTATGCTAATCTGTTATGCATATTTGCTCGAGGTCATTGGTACCTGGGATGATCATGATTATGGACTAAATGATGCTGGCAAAGAATTTTCTGGCAAAACTACTAATCAGAGACTTCTTCTCGATTTCTTAGATGAACCCCAAGACAGTCCCAGGTCACCCCTTCTTCCCTACTACATTTGCAAGCGCATTCATTTGTTTTCCCTTTTGTTAACTTAATATTTTGGGATGGGATTATTGGTCATAATGTAGGCGCAAGCAGGCTGGTGTTTATACATCTTATACATTTGGCCCTTCTGGTAAACAAGTCAAGGCATGACTATAACATGCTTTCCAATTATTGTGTGCTCTCTAGAAATGGATTAAAGTTTAAGTATGACTGACACTTTTCTCCATCTCTTTTTCTCTCTGTTTGTCAATATCAGCAGTTATACATAGATTTCTACTAATATTGGTAAACTTGCTTTCTCAGATTATCCTATTAGATATTCGGTACTACAGAGATCCTCTATCTAGTGGCGGGAGCGTCTTGGGGGCTTCACAATGGACATGGTTAGAGAGAGAGATGAGAGGTCCACCTTCGGCCCTTACCATTATTGTCTCTTCTGTTCAGGTATTTAAAATGTTAACTAGATGATTCTATTATGAGGTTCTATATTTGAATTATTGACTCCTTGTTGGAAAGCATTCAAAATCTGAACAGTTTGTCTAGAAAAGATTATTATTCCAATTTTCACATTCCCTTTGTTTTTTCAGTTTCTAACCCAGCATGACTTTGAGATGTTATGCCTTTAATTCCAGGTTATATCAAACCTTTCTGGTACAACTGGCCCCTTATTTTATATGGAGTCTTGGGGACGTTTTCCAAAGGAGAGGAATCACCTTTTCAAGTTGATAAATGATAGTAAGGTAATAATGCAACATTTTTATCATTCACCTTTATTTAAACCAAACTACTTCATATAAACAGTGATATGTTGGATATTCTTCCCCGTCCCGTTTGTTTTTTCCTGTTTTGATCTGATGGCACTATACCGTTTTATGTTCCTTTTTCCCGGGCAGAGAGATGGAGTCTTCTTCATTAGTGGAGATGTTCATTTTGGAGAGATAACGCGATGACTGTGCTGCTGGATATCCCTTGTATGACATTACCTCAAGTGGGTTAACACAAGCTGTAGAGAAGGTGCTCCCGTCACGATTTCATTTCATAGTTAGATTTTTGGCATGGTTTACTCCTAGTACCATGAGAGTTATGAACCAGCATTGCAGATATAGGTCATGCACATATGGTATGCTCATCATCTCTCTCTTTTTTTCCTTTTAAAATTTTTACATGTACGTACATGCTGATGAGTTTCCATGTTTTTGGATTCTGTAGGCCAACCAAATTTTGGAGCATTTCAGATTGATTGGGATGCATCTCCAATTAACTTGAAAATGCAAGTCCGAGATATAAACGGACTTCATGTGACTGGTGTAGATATTTCATTATCAGAATTGCAAGCATGGAATTCTACAATTAAAGCAGGACTAGAACAGAAACACTGCACTCTGGAAGTGAAGTTGCCATGGATTGTTAGATATCGCTTGGCTATTCTGGTTTACTCTGTTTTAGTTTGTAAGCAGTTCTTCGAGCTTTCTGTTTTCTAACTAAATCTGTCCAGCCTCCTTTTTTCATCAATTTTAGTAGCATTAAAAAAATTGGCACACAAAACTGTCTTGGAGGAAACAGTATTGTGGAACATGTAGAACATGAGCTGTAGTGCAAAATGAGCCTACCATTTTAGAAGTGCAGAAAAGAAGAACCAAGACCAGAACATACTTGGCTTGTTTTAGATATTGATTATTGAGTCTTTAGTTAGAACTACCCTTAGGTGTTTGATCAGATGTTTACCATATGCTTACTAATTACATTATTGCAAATTTAAACTATACTTCCATAGGAGCACCATCTTCTAATTTCACAATCACAAGTACTTTTTGTTTACAAATAAGGAAAATAAGTAATTTTCTATGTTATTACTTGATGGTTTTGATTGCAGTACTTTGCTTAAATACGGAGTTTTAATTGTATTTCTATATTTTTCTGTATATCTTTTCCTTGTTATGGATTTCCTTTGTCCACTGTTGCAGTGTTGCTTCTTGCTTTGGTTGGACTAATTTCTGCAGGAGCATTACTCTGCCGGGCGTGCCTCAAGAAATGCAAGACAGATTGAACTTTGTTCGATATGGAGTTCAGTATAGAGATCATCAGGACAGATTAAGAAACGTAGTATCTGACACACCAGTTTAGTGCTATGTTAAAGTAAGGGTAAAGGATAAATATATCCTTAAATTGCATTACACAGTATCTCATAAAACTAGAGGCGAATTCTCTCCCCCACCATCCGATTCACCGGTAAGTACTTCTTAGTTCTTAGTGTAATTGCTGATCATCAGAGAATAGTTATTTCCTTTCAAGTGAATAGCTAAGATCATCTATAACATGAATTGCAGATTTAGTTTGAGAAATTATACCTTTTGGAAATTAAAGATCAAGTTCAGTTCACATACCCAAAGAAAAAGTAGAAATATTAAAGAATCTCGACATGACGGTGAATTATATAAAGAATCTCGAATCGATTTTCGTCTTGGTTAATGCGCATGCAAAAGTAGTGCATATCCGAACATGCTATATATATATATATATATTTAATTTGGTTGCATGCATGCATCATGCATGTAATTACCTCAGAGAATGAGAGAGGTAAACAAAGCCAGACTTGCTTCTGTTAGTTTATTGTCATTGCTTCTGATAAAAGTCACTTTGAATTTCTGAAAAATTAGTACTGCACACGGTCACACTTACAGCACATTTAGCACAAGCATTGATACGTCTACCATGTGCATGCCTTGAGGAGAAGAGAAGAGATGCATGCGACACCATGACACACTTACATGTATATGCACCAAGTTATTTTGAATTTCTGAATGGTAATAATAAATTTAATTATCTTTCAATATCTCAAATATAAATATTTAAAAATTATAACCTAAAACATGTTGGGATTACGTAAATTATTCGTTTAAATAATTATTGGTTGATAGTTGCAAACTAAATTTAAATTGTCACATATATTGTGCTTGAACATTTGGTGCATGATATTTTTGTAAATATTTTGGGTCAGGATGGATTGAGTCGGAACTTTTATCTTAAAATCGAACTCGGTTAGACTTTAACTTCATTTTACAAAACCTATATCATTCGTTCCAAATCATTCTTACTCAACCGAATTTGGTCAAACCGCCATTTACTTTTAGTCATGATGCATGGCTCAAATGATTTGTTTTTGTAGTAATCTGTTTGTCAGTCTTTCAAGTGCAATGCCTTTTTCCTCTTAAATCATCAATGGCGTGGCATGGGGGCATCTTTGTCTCTTCGCAGTTCATACCATATGTCGTTGCTTTCGTCGCCATGTAAAGTGTTTATCTATGCAATTGCACGCACTCATTTTTTCCAACTTAATAATTATTATAATTTACATTTATTCCGCCACAATAATTGTGATTTCTGAAGTTATGATTCTAATTGAATTTTTTTTAACAAAATACACTTCCTTTTTGTATAGTCGACGCTGACAATAAATAAAATGATTTTTTTAAAATAATAAGAAAATCCATCACTTTAATTTTATAATTTTAATGCATCAAGACTCGGTTGACATAAGCAGTTTGACCATTTCTAATTTCATCTCTCATTTGAATCATTACCAAACCCCCCTTACTCAAGCACTCATCCACGACTTGCCATAAAACCCCTCCTAAATACATTATCTCAATGGAAAACCATTCAAAACAAAGAAATTAGAATCAACAAAATTGTAATCCAAACACCGGCGCGTAATCTGTAAAACAATTATAAGGAAAGTTAAAATCGAAACAAAACAAACAAGGAAAAATAAGAGAATAATAGAAAAAAAATTCTTATCCTTTTTTGCTGAGGATTATTTCTGGTGATGGGGGAACCTTCTTGAAAATTCGAACGGTAAGGAAGTGTGATGGAACGAGAGAAATAACAAAATTAAAAATTAAGATGATCGACGATGGAAGATCACTAATCGAACTATACATTTTTGGACATCAATATTAATCACCTCAAAACAAAGTTGTTTTAGCCACATAATCACAATGAAGAATAATTTTATTAACGACTTTTAAATTTTAATGACTCAATGTCTTTTTTTTATTAATATAAGGTGATTATAAACGATATTATGTGTTCTAAATGCTATCGACTATTTGATAATAAACGTTCAGATATCTGAAACCTTTCGACATTGAAGTAAATAGAAACCCACTGTTATGATTGAATATAAAATTTAATAATAAAATTAATGTAAAATCTAAATTCAGTAATGTCTCATATAATTTATAATGTTTTTTTAATACGACGACGTCAAATAAAATTTAAGTATTCTTTTTACCATTAGATAAGTTTTAAAAGAATGTAGAGAATGAAAAGTGAGAGAATTTATTCATAGTAATGTGATACTTAAATACAAAGTAATATATGAGATGTTAAGTGTCATGATCTGAATAGGAAAATACTGAGCTCCTGGGCAGTGCTACCCAGTGGATTAATCATGTGAAACGAGTGCGAGTGTGGTGACCCGAACACCCTCTGGAAACTAGCTCTCATATACATCAGCTCCTCCTCACACTTCCCCCCAACCCGCAAAACCCCCGCCCCCACCGACACCGACTGCATCATCTTAAGCACCGCCGCGTCGTCGCCGCTCATCTGCCTCTTTATGGCGAACCCCACTTTCCTCCCGTTACAGTACATGGACCAAACCGGCACGTCATAAAGCCAGCACGACGACCTCTCTTTGCTCCTCTCGCACTCCAACGTCATTCTCATCAGCCCGTGCTGCATCTCCCTTGCCAGGTACGCCGTGGGAATTCCCAGCTCCAACAGCAGAAGCGGAGATCCCCGCGTGTCGTCGTGCAGGCAGAAACTCACACGACCCTTCTTGTACCCGAAGAAGGTTCCCGTGATGGTCGAAGTCGAAGGCGACGTCGACATGCTCAACGAGCCGTGACTCGAGTCCGTGTCGCTGCTGGCTACCGAGGCCGAAGGAGGAAACCCGAAACAAGGGACCAAGCATTCGACCAGGGACCATATGGATCGTCGAAACCGAACTTCACGCCCACATTCGATGGAGGTCGCCATCGCCATGTCCATTGTGTTTATATGGAGAGGACCTCTTTGATTCCCAAGGTCTATCATCATCTTCATGGTAATTGACTCTAAAACAACAAATCTGTATATAATGATTATAGGAAGCTTCAACTAAGTTGTTAATTACAGATAGATATAGCGATCATATGCACGAAAAGCAGTAGGTGAAGCCTAGTGGGATGTATTTTCTTTTGCCTTGTGGGTGTTAGAAGTGAGGGGAGGCCAATTTGCAGGCAATAAATAGATTTTTTTTACAAGAATGGTGCATGCGAGAAAATAATAAAGAATAATGGAGGGCAAATTCGTTATTCCAAAAAATGACAATAAAAATTATTATTTAAAGAAAATCTCTGTTTCATAAAAATTAATTTCAATGAATTTTTATGAAAATTTATATTACTGGAATATTAAAATTTTAAATAATAATTTTTATTATAACTCGTCTTACTAAAACGACGAATTTATTCTTCCTCTCATCCATCATCCTAAATTATATTTTTTTTCTGGCAATTTTATTCCTCTATTTTTTTAGAAAATGGCATATATTATTTAACTAAAAAAGGCCAATAAATAATTAAAGAAAGCAAAAGGTAAGTGGGCAATAATTCTGCCCACGAGGGGGAGGCGGGACACAGCCCTTGGATGGTGATGCTACTGCGCGTGATTGACCAATTCAGAAACTTTGACGTCTCCTGTTAATTTAAGGATAAACTACAAATTTTATCACTTAACTTTTTTTACTTCTATTTTGGTCCAATACATTTAATTTTTTAATTTAATCACCCAACTTTCAAATTACTTATATTTTGGTCACTCCACCATTAAATCACAAATGATTTGATGACACACTAAATCAAAGTTGTTTTTAATTCTTATCCATTGTCAAATTCATATCAAAATAGCCTCGTTTTGGATCTTTATACAAGTCATTTTATAAGGGGAAAATGGCTTTTATAAAAACTTAAAACAAATTTCACAATTTAACTTTCTTCTTAATTTTATTTTGGTCAATAAAATTTATAAAGTTTTAATTTAATAGCTCAATTTTTGAATTACTTCTATTTTAGTCAATTCATCATTAAATCATAAATAGTATGATGACACATGGAAACACGGTCATTTTAATTTTCTTATAAAATGTCAAATTAAGAGCAAAAGGACGTTATTTGGGTCCTTATAAAAAGCCGTTTTATAAGGAAGAAAAAAGTCTTTTATAAGGACTTAGAACAATGTCGTTTTCGTCTAAATTTGACATTTTGTAGGAATTCGAAATGATATTTTTGGTGTGTCATCACACATTTGTGATTTAACGGTGGAATAATTAAAATAGGAGTAATTCAAAAACCGAATGATCACATTGAACAATTCTAAACTTTAATGACCTAAATATAAACAAGAAAAATTTTGAGTGATGAAATTTGTAGTTCACCCTTAAATAATCCATGTAAAATAATAATAAATTTAGGGTGTTGGATTGTGAAAGTGTACCAGAGTGATGCAGCATGGGCCATGCTGGTTTGTGTGTCCACAAATAATAATAATAAGTAGCAGTATTAATCAAACAGTGTTTTGTAGGCAAATCGATTGATTTATGCCTTGCACCGCACGTGTCCCTACTCCCTAATAATTCAACCAACCCCAACATTATTTTTCCGACCTCTTCCCTCCATGCAAAACAATGTATCTTGTATCATACATTTTTCATGTCCAATACAACATTCAGCGATAAAGTTTTAGAATACGATCGGAAGCGATTGTCTCTTTAAAAATTTTAAATTTATATATATTTTTGTATTTTTTTAAAAAAATATATTTTTATTTTTTAAATGTTTTATAAAATTTTTATAAAATTTTATAAGTTCTAATCGTAACATAAAGTATTGCGTCTTTCCTTGACAATATTGTCACCTTTACTCTCACTTGAATTACTATTATTTTATTTGAACCTATTATTCTTTAATTTAAAGATAAATTGAACTCACCTCAATATTTAAAGGAAGTGTTAATTTTTCTAAAAAATTTAGGTTCGAGCTGTTCCATGAACAGAGTGTATTCGTTATCAATGACTAAAAAATATTATAAAAAGATATAACCTTATAATCATTTCATAGTATTTAAAACTACAGGTAAAATATATAAGTAATCTATTTTGTTTTTGGTCTACCTTATTTTAGTTGCTGGTTTTGAAATAGTAATAATTTAGTTACATTATTGATTTGTCTTATTTTTGTCTTGAGCCATTAACTCCCATTAATTCGATATGATACATTAGTAAAAAAAAGATTTAATTTTATAATTAATCTCATAGCTTATAAAATTTTATTTTTTTCACCCTCTTCATAAAAAAATCTAAAATTAATTTCTCAAAATATTCATCCTCTCTAATCCTAAGTCCTATCCCTAACCCTCATCCATTTTGTCGCCTTAAGTCGTTGTACAACCTCAATGTATTTTATCCAGCCTTTAGAGGAGCTCTAACCCACTGGTTGCCTTTTATCCAGCGTCTCCAGCATTCCTACCCCATGGTCGATTAAAGTTATGCTCTGCAGCCCCATCACACATTCGACCTGGTTCGCTCAACCAACACTCCCGCCTTTGATTTTTTGTTAAACGAGGATGAAAAATAATCAAATTATGAAAGTTTAGAGATTAAATTATAAAATAATATTTTTATTAATGAGTCACGTCATTAAATTAATAATATTTAAAGGTTCAATGATAAAAAAAAAGACTAATAACGTAAATGACTAAAACATTATTTTTTTTTCAAAATCAATAACCAAAATCATATAGGATAAAAATAAAATAAGTGTAGTTCACCCTAATACCAATGAATGAAAAAAAACTATAATTTTTAAGATTTATTATGATATAAAAGTCCCCCAAAATCATTACGCATGCACCTACAGTCTCAGACAAATCAGTGGGCGAGGCACACATATAAATATCTATCTTTTATGTACATATGATACAAGGAAAGCGTAGGGTTTTCAAAGTGGGTTTGGTCCATTGAGAGGCAACAAAGAACGAACGAAATACAACTTATTAACATAAAATTAAAAGAATAGTCCTAACCGAAAATTTTATCAAGAATATAAATTTTTAGATTATATAAGATAATATTTTAGATTAAAATAAAAAACATTATGCTCTTTTTAATATTTTTTATTGTAACAAAAATTATTATAAATTATATAATTTTTTCGATTATAAACTCTTAACTTATAGTAATATAACATTTTTAGATACAACAACAAATATTATAAATAATACAACTTTTTAAATTAAATAATATAATGTTTTAAATTAAGAAACGTCTTAAATTAATTACTCGTGAATCAAAACTACCAAAAAGAAAAAGAGAAGCGGAGAAGGACGGATCACATCAGATAAAGTAAAAGGTGAGCAACAGTGTAGAAAAGTTGTAGGATAGGATGCATGAGCATGCAGGAAACACGGATTAGACCCGCTCAGTCCTTCGTGTCCCCAACTCATCCACACGTACCAATTCCTGTCCATTCTCATCGTCCTCTTTCCTCACAATGCTTCTCTTAATTCAAGAAAAAACATGAGTGGCAAATGATTAAGATGATTGTTCTGATATACTTGGATTTCAACAGAGATTACATGCATGGTTAATTTGGTATTATAATAATTAGTATGCTCTCTATGAATAATTTATGTCTAATTTTAATTTAGATCATAAACTCTATTGATGATAAAATGTGACCTATTTTGATTTAAACGGAGAACCTTAACTGATAAATAGTATAAATAGTATTCGACATATTCATGTCCTTTGTGCTAGGAGACTTATAAATCGAAGTGTAGGTGTTAGATCTAGGGTTATGATTACTATTCAAAAGTTGGTAAAATGAATTGACCTCGTCATTATGTAGTCGTTTTTTTTGTTATGGACTTGATAACAATCAAGTCAAAAATCTAAAAATTGTTCGGGATGTGAAACTTCGAAAGCCTCGAACTTTAAAAGAGGCCCTCCAAGGTTCTTGACCAACAAAGGATATCCGAATAAGGTGTAATACTTGTCTCCTTTTACTTAAGGGAGAGTTATAAAGTAAATTGAACCGAGATTTGTAAAAGTGTGTGATACCTCAATAATGTAAGTTATTATTTTAGCAGAATTTTTTTGTATGCATATTTTATGGAGGATTCTCAATACATAGGTATAATTTAACAAATGGACATAAATATCTCTACCTAAACATGTTGCAGAGTACCTCGGCGTTTGAGTACATTTGTATGAACCCATAATTCAGCTTTATTGTTATCTTAATTATTGTAAAAATTAAGCGAACAAATGTTAGACTATGCACATTTGTCTTTGTGGTTATATATATATATATCGTGTGGAGGATTCTCAATGCCTTGGTGGGATGCCTGGGCAATGACAACATCTTGATGTTCTGTAAAGACCAAGGATAAGTTCATATAGTCTTAACAGAGACATCTCGACTCTATTTGATATGTAGAGAGATCGAGAATCTCTATAGTTAGTGGGATCTAGGTAATATGCACCTTCGACCAGAAAAGAGACAATTCTACACCTTCAGAGGGGTACGATTGACGGGCGGGGACATCTTTGCCTTGGTAGGAGCAAAGTAAGGATTTTAACTTCTTCTTGCTAGCGCAAAAGTATCTCAACACTTAAAATAACAATGAAGAGATTCATATTTATGTAACAGAGACATCTAAACACTCATCGAAGACTCTTTTGAGCTGTAGCAGTTAGAGTGTGAGGTAACTCCTTGGTAAAACACTGTAAAAATATGTGGAGACGTCTCGACTCTTTCAAGGTGGATACATCTTTACGTCCTGTGAGTCGATAACGAAGATACTCTTATCGTCAGAATATAGGCATCAAGTTTCTTCCGTCCAATGTTAAGAAGAGATTATTAAATTATGGGAAGTAAAAACATCTCAACGTCTTCAATCGATAAATGAGACAATCCAACTATAATCATAAATATAATTATCATAGTCAAATATTATCTATATTCATTTTTACGAATTTATTCAAGATCCATTCACGACTATTTTATAATTATTTAATAAAATATTTTAAAATAAAATATTTTTTATTATTGTATACTATACTTATTAGTGTGAATATATTTACACGCAAAATAAAATGTAAATGAGTGAAATTTTGGAGGTGAATGGCCCAAATAAGCAGTGGGTTTCATAGAGCTTTTGGAGGGCCTCTATATGGCGTCCAACCTTTACTAGCCATACTCAAAAGTCAAAACCACATTTGAGAGATCCATTTAAAGATAATATACATTTAAATACCGATAAGAATTATATGGTTATAAATTAAATTTATATGTTTGATTTAATATTTATTTTATATATTATATTAATTGAATTAAACTCAACATGCATGTCTCTTCTTTTTGAAAATTTAATACACAGTTTTCTGTACAGCAAAGGTATGGATGTAATTAATTAAATAAAAGTATATTTTACATTGGATCAATCCGTATACGTATATGTAGAGAGACTACAGAACGGAACCTTCGTAAATGGTCGACAGTCTCAGCTTAAAAGATCGGACGGTCAGTTTAGCTCGTCTGGAGGTGTATCTCTGGAATTTTCTGATGGAACGTGACCTCGACATCGCAGGCTGCTGTGGTTGCGCCTTGGCGAAGGACTTGTCGCCAGGAACTGATTCGGCGGCGGCCACCACCATCACAGGCGAAATACGAGACTTATTGCGGCGATTAGAGTCGTTTTTTATAGCGAGGCTGGCTTTGACGGCCAAAGCCGCCATGTCCGTGGACGCCAATCGGTTCTGGAGCTTCGAAACGGGGAGGACGAAGTATATTTGATTAGCTTGCAGCTGGTGGTCGACATCCAAGGCCGGGATGTATTCGTCGTAAGATAAGCTGTCGGAGTTGCAAAGGAAGATCGACGGAGGAGCTTCGGCGTGGAGAACCTGGGAGACGAAGACGGGGAGGCTATATTTGTGAAGATCGCCATTGATGGAAACAACAAGAGCAGCCGGTCGATTCTTTGAATCGGAGACCGAGTCTCTGGTCTCGGAAGAGAAGCAAGTGCCCATGGCATCGACGGGAAGAACAATAATTGAAACGAATTGGGGGAAGAAGAAGTTATATTCGCAGAAACAGAATTCAACAGAGAGAAGAGAATGATGAAGGGTTTGTTATTATTGTTAGCGTTGGTTTAATAAATAAAGAGGGGAGAGAATGAACGTGGACGGGGAAGGCGCCGTGAACATGGTTAAAAAGGTCAAGGAGTGACGTCAGCGACGCTGTCACGCGGGGGACATGAAACACCGGTAACCGAGTTCGTAAAAGTCAAAAGATTGTAGTTTTTCAACAAGTTGATAGATGATGCCTCGTGACTTTCAGCGTTTTTACTTTTAGCCTTCTTTTTTCAACTGTCATTTTCTAATTTTGTCTTTTAAAACTGTTATAAATATATACATATTATTACGTTAAATTAATTATAAAATATTATATATTTTAAATAATCTTAATCATTTGACAATAAAAGATTAATAATTTTTGTAATCGTTTGTGTTTGAATCCATAAATTCTAAGAATTACAGTAATTCTTTTAACTATTAAGTTAAGTTAGTTGTTTTTTTATTTGAAAAATGAATTCAACTTTACAAATATAGTTATATAAGTAATTAAAGTGATAATTATAAAAGGAAAGAAAGAAAGGGCGAGGTGAAGTGAGCGATGAAGAGTTGTTTTGTTGAAGTCGCATACTTGGGGTGCAAACAATCAAAGTTGTTGTCAATCGCAAGTAGAGAACTTTAGATTTAATTATGATTAAAATATATTCTGTTGTTAGTCGGATTAGAGTCAAAGTTATTGCCTCCGTGTGTACTAGTAGAAGGTCTTAATTGATGTAGAATTCATCTCTATAATATAATGATATCAACCACAACAAATATAAATTGCCTAATATATAGTATTATAATTACTAGGTCTCCGATTTAGCCAGTGCCGAAACGCATGCAAGAGCTGTCCACCTGTGATTGACCAAACCCCCGTACGTGTCATCCAACGTACTTCCCAGTTTTCAACCAATAACCATCATATTATATATATATATCTCACTTTTAAAAAGATATATATATTCTCACGGCACAGCAGGTCGGTTGACTAAACAACTCAAACCGGAAAATAACACACTCCACCACCCCCCACCCCACACACACGTGTGTATATATATATATATATAAACTATCATGTACTTTTAAATATTACAGATAATATCATAAACTCAAATTATGCTAAGATAATGAAATAATAATCGTTATATCATGATATCACCACTGTCTGAAACTATTTTTGGCAGAAAGTGCAGTGTAAAACTGAATCACACAACAACAATGTATTACAATCGCAATTTAATAGACAACAATTAATTACAATAGTAAAAAAAATAATTCAGTCATTGTTTCATTACGATTTTTTAAAAAATATATATATACTACTTTTAGAAGAAAAAAATCAACAGAATTATAATAAGACAATGAAATATATTGTGATAACATTTGTTAAGTCCGAAATCAGGATAAACATAATACAATCAAAAGATCAATTTAAATCCCTGAATAATATTAATAATACATGTTGCTGTATTAAATGTTTCCAGAAAATAAAAACGTGTATAAATCAGCTACGGATCTAGAAACTAAAATATAAGGGCTCAAAATTCTAATATTTTATTTTCCAAAAAAAATAGTTATACAAATTTCTTTATTTTTTTTCATTCCCCTTAATATACTAAACTAGATTTAATAATTTTTCCAAAATAATGGGTATGCAATTGAACCCATCAAAACCATATACATCCGCCCCTGGTATAAATGATTAAACATGCTGATATGTATCTGATATTCAAAGTACAACATTGTATAACTATAATCAATCCTACTCGTTGTTCAGCAACTTTACAATGAGATGATAATGAAACAAATACAGACCATAACTTTCTCTAAAATAAGAATCAAAGTGAAACATGCACATACAATAGAATACAATACAAGCACGTTAATATAATTAATTTCTACTTATCTCTCATTGGATTGCTTACATCTTCCCTGACATCTGTCTTTATACTCGGTCACTTCCATTCCAAAATTTTAGCAGTGGTAATATTCATTCAACCCCAGTGCTCATACGTACATCTTCATTCCAACAAATATGCCTATGTATGGTCATAGGGTATGTGAGATTACCACAATCCAGTATGCCCAAAGGACAGAAAGCCTAAAGGGGATACCCCATATTTCAGGTTTGCTCACAGGCAACCAGCAGTATATGGTGTCCACCTGTGCCAGCCAGTTTTATCCTTGAGTTTCACTTGGGCTCAAAAGTCCAAAGAACCATGCATAATCTGCCCCTATTGTTACTTAATTCAAAATGATTTGCCCTCCCTACCAATTAAATCGTGCCAAAATCCAAATTTTCCCACTTAAAGGGAGAAACTTGACCAATGTCGGGCGAGCCCCGCATGAATAAGCAGACACAAACACAGACAGCAGCAATGGCAAGCATCGAGTGAACATAAGGACGTTGCAGCAAACCTTGTGAACCTGGAAACCTATGTCTATACTTCGTTGCCACAACAGCACACTTGGCACAAGAACCACGATTTTGCTTGGGCTGAGAACTTATCTTGCTTAACTGCACCGCAGAGATGCCCGAGCACTTGTCACTGATGGTCAAAGAAACTTGACCATTCTTTCTATCAGCATATTTGCCAGCCACTAACTTGTTGTATGAATGGTTGTTTCTCATCATAGCATAGGCATATGGAGACTGCCCATTTGCATCCAGAAGGGAATTCCAGCAGTTCAAACCAATCTACAAAAAAGTTGAAAAATCTTTTAGTGACTTGTTTACAAATAAATGAAATCGAGTAAACATGGTTTCGTCGTTTATGTTCAGGATAAGATCAGCAGTGTATCAGAAGAGGAAAAACACTACTAATCTAGGATGCAAGAAATGGACCTATTTAACTAAAATAGTTTGATAAAGGTTATCAAGAGAAAAGTTTCAATTCCTTACATTAAACCTAAAAAAATGTTGTAATAACTCACCTCCTGTGGATCATTCGTCAGCACATCTACCAAATCATCTGATCCAGATGTACATGCAGCCAAATGTAAAGGTGTGATTCCACCAGCACCTTCAAGATTTGGTGGGAAGATATATATTTTTGAGCTTTCATCTCCGCTATTAATAGAATAATGTACAAGCAAGTCAGCCATATTCCTACACCTTCTTTTCACTGCTAGGCTTAAGAGCTGAATCTCAGAGAGCATGGCCAGCGACTCCTTGGATAGCCCATCCATATCCAAGTTGCTTTCCACCAGTATGTCAAGAAGTACTTTTACCAAAGCACAATAATCTCTCTCAACAGAGAATATGAGCAAAAATTTGAACCGGTAAAGGGAATGGTCAGAACTCTTGGGCAATGGATCAGTACTTCTCTGGAATACCCATCCGATTTCATTCAGAAAGTGAAGGGCTTCCTCCCTTGACCTTGGACGGTGACAATCGTAAGCATGTTCTTCAGAAATAATACCAGAAGCTTCAGCTTCTACATCAAGTTCAGATTCCAGAAGTCTCAACTCTTTACAAATGGCAGCATCTGCTATTATAATAGGAAAACTGTTGCCCTTGAATCCACTTTCCACCTGCTCAAAGTTTGGGGAAAAGTCAAAACACAACCCTCCAGAATTCTAAGGATGATCCAGAGAGTCAAACATAGTAATTCTTAGACATAAAGTCTTACCTCAATGAAACAACGACCTAGTGCTTTTGGTGATGGAACCTGAATCTTAAAACCGCCCATGTTTACCTCGTCACATGTGGCTCCCTTATATGCTAAGCCACTAATCTCCATTGATGAGTATCCTCCCATGTACGCACAATGAATCCTGCACAGTTTTCAAAATGAACATTTTAGAATACAAAGACAATAGGAAGAAATTCGAAGTTCTCGTATAAAATGCTCATTTCGCTTACTTGGTGCCAGGATTACTTAGATTTCTACCCCTCACCAAAAGAGAGGTTTCCTGTCCACCCACAATGGCCAGAGGAGACACTGAGATCAACTCAGGCGAACTACATGATCTCCATGATTTGCATAGACGAATCTTTCCTGAAAAAGTCGAGAAAAAAAAGCTTTCAAAACAGTTTATACTCCAACTGCATACTTCAAATCAATCAACTAAAAAGTGAATACCTTTGAAATCATCTTAAACCCAGTAAGTGATAATAAAGACATTCTCAAGGAGTATCAAAATAAATAATAATGTTTTGTATCAAGTAGAAAAGTTTGATGCTGAGAAACAAAAACCACAAATTTCCATCATACTTACCATCCTTATGAGAAGCTAACTGTCGGTTCCTAGCATGAATTAAAAACCTTGCTTTCCTCCAAAAATCTGAATCTGAGTCTTGCAACAAACAATAGACATACTGAAGCAGGTTTCCTTCAAGCTGAAAAAAATTCATGCCATACAAATGGTCAGCTCAATGTTGAACAAAGGGAAAGTGACAAATGCAGAATGTAGTAGCACACTCACATGCTTCCAGGCAGCAGATGACATTGAAACATAGATTGACAGAACTACACATCCAGGCCTTATATAGCTCTCCATTTCAGACGGACTATTTGAAAGCCAATTATAGATCTGCAAAATGAAAGACCAGAATCATTAGTAATTCCCTACAAAAAAGACTTCTATGTAATCTCCCCTTCCATTTATATGTGACAAAAAAGCCAAAATTGGCAAATAAAACCTCACCTGGGTCCGCAGTGTACCAGGGAAGTGGCTGGGGTCCTTGTCAAACAGCTTAAAAATTATTCGCCCAGTACGATCCTGCTCAGAAATCATTCAGCCATTAGAAATGTTAATGTAACACACATACCCAAGTACATGCATGGTAAAAGAAATAAAAATGAAGTCTAACTAGAATATAAATTAGAATAGGTACTACTTCTATGATACCTGAGAATCAGAGTTCAAGCTAGGGGGGGAATGATCTGACCCAGAAGAAGATGTGTACCCAGTTTGTGAAGGGAAATGTTGAAGTGAACCATGTCTAGTTCCTCTTTCTGACCCACTAAAGAGCTCAAGAGGTAGGATAGAACCATGAGCCCTGCTTGCTTCAGCAGTTGTATTAGTTTCTCTTCCAATGAGCGGTTTCTCATACTTGACAGCTTCGGTTGTGCTATTCATTGGGAACAATTTTTGCACAACTGGAGATGAAGAAGGAGATCCTTCCTCCATTGGATTGCTACTACCGGAAGAGAAATACTTCCTAGAAGATGATAGTTTTGGTGGGCCTTCATCCTCAGGAGAGGAGCTAAATAGCTGCAGTGGTAAATTAGCTCTTGTTTCTTGAATCTGGCATTCAGAGTCTTCAACAGGAGATTGATAATTGCTGCTAATTCTTTCTCCTCCAACTGATGTAAACTCCGTAGGAGTTCTGATTCGTGAACTGGGAGCAGCTACATTATCAGGACAGATCGACTTGGTCTTTTGGCTATCACTGCTTGGACTGCTTCTTTGAGATAGATTTGCAAGGGCATCAGAAGAAGAGGATGACAATGTAGCTGAAAGGGCAGCAAGCAAATCTACAGTAGATGGAGAAGATGTGTTTTCCCCATTCAATTGGTGTTGATCACCTATCAAAGGCTGATCCTGGCTTTTCCTGTTCAAAGTTCCCAAATTGGCCAACTTTGCAGCCAGGTCCGTGGGCAAAGGTAATGAATTTATCTTACTAAGAATCTGAACAAGTTGATCTCTATTTGGTACGGGTGAGGAATTAATGCTTTTGTCGTCGTTTTTGCCTGTATTTTAAGCACACAAACATCAGCTTCAACATAAAACAAGAAACTTAAAACTCATTTTTAGAATAAATTTCTTGCCTTGTGTCCGAGCCAAAAGTGTGAGCAGATTGACGATATCTAAATTTCCATTCCCAGCAATATCCCTGTTTACAGGGAGTAAAAGCCGTGAGGTAACATCTTCTGATTGTGTCTTCCTTCTACGGCGATTATGCCCGGCAAGTCTACGCCTACAACTTCTTTTCCCCTCATCAAACTCTGAAAGAGGGTGAAACCTGCAGAAAAGAAAAATAAAGGTGAGGTGGGTTCAACCGATAGCTAAAACTTGATGCCAAGGGTGAAAGCTTTTAGAACAAGAACATAAAAGTAGCAACCTGCTACACTGCTGGCAGAACCTCTGCATCTGCTTCTCAACAAGAGCTTTAGTCGCTTTACTATGAATCTCGCACACTTTGTGGCGACGGTGATAGTCCTTCGCATTAGAAAGATCTTCCTTACAATTATCAACCTGACACATGGGGTAGTGGGTACTCCCAGGGGATCCAACACGCCCCTTTTTGTTAGGCCTGGACACTGACTCTTCCATAGAATTCAAACCCCAGCCTAGATTCAGTTGCAGCCTCTCATCATCATGATTTACTGCAGTGGCCTTCTTGGATGTTATAGTGTTTTCATTGCCAATAGCATGACCTTTCTTTTTCTGTTCTGCTGTGGCAGTCCCTGCCTGCAGAATCTCGGTGTTCAAGGGTTTGGCGACAAATCTGATGGCATCCCACTCCCATAGCTTCGGGTTCCAGTTGTCCCCGGAGTTTGCAACACGCTGTTGCAAAGCGTCTTGGTATTGAAAATCGAGAGGCCGATAAGGAAGGTCACGTTTCCTGGATAAAGAAGGTGGTTCACGGAAGTAGCTGCCAAGGGGCTGGTGCATAAATATGGGAGGAGCTACTTGAGCGCCTACCTCCTCCATGGGTCTGAAAAAAAAAAATTTCCAGACACCAGATGATCTCTGGACAAAAGAAATTACTATTTTAACAAGTAACTTTGGGGGTTGCATAAATAACTATAACCAGCATAGAAGAATGTGGTTCAACTCATCAAAAAAGTCAAAATAAAATGGAAAAATCTTAAAAGGGCATGATGAGGTCTGAGAAACCTTTTGGAGCATAATTTAAGCGCAGAGTATCAGATCAGACAAAGATTGGGACCAAGAAAAAATAATATTCAACTACCGAGACATGTAAAAACAAAATAAAAACTAAAAAAGAGCTAGATGAATGATACAATTATACAGGTAAACAGAAAATATTGGCGGAAAAGTAAACAAAGAAGATTTGAAAACAACATACCTTTCACACAAAAATTACAGTTTGAAAATTTCACGGCTGATTATCAGATCAGACAAAGATTGAGAAGAACTGGAGACATGTAAAAAAATTAAAATTAAAAAGAGAGAGAGATGGATCATACAATACAAGACAACAACAAATACAAGAGCACAGATGAATAAATCAGATACCTTTGACGAAATCTCAGCTTAGCGCTTCATCATCTCAGAGAAAAAAAATAAGAAGCAACAAAGAAAAACGTAAAAGCAACCACCGCCTTCAACCTTTCACTTCATGTTAATAAAATATACGAAAATTCTCCTTTTCCCCAGGTACAACCATCGGACAAGGGCTTGCGTCTCTATTTCTGAAAAAAGAAGAAGAAAATCATTCTCAAGGAATCGACGGGGTAAACAGCAAGGAAACGCAGTCGGATCCAAAAAGACGAAGATGATGAAAGCTGAAACAACTGGGAACTTGGGCTTGGCTCCACAACTTCGGTTTACCTTTTTGTTGTCTCTCTATAAGAATGACGAAGAAAATGAGAGGAAAAAGTAAAATGTAAATTTGGCAGTAAACTGGTTAGTAGACTACTTCTAATTTTACTTTTGGGAAAACCTAATTTTTAATCCATAACTTTTTAAATCTTTTAATACTGATCCTTGAATTTTCTTTTAATATTTTATGTTACTTTCATGACTGTGCGTATGACATGTGACCTAATCTCAGTGTCAAATTATCAAGTTGATTAAATATGGGAAAAGTTAGCAACTTCGTATTAATGTGGATAAGAAAATTAGTATCATATTAAAAAAAGTTGTTAATTTTAAGGAGTAAATTTACTTGAAATAATTTAATATAGGGTAAATATTAATATCACTGAATTTTTAAGATGATTTTATTTTGGTCATTAAAATAAAAAAACTTTCATTAGAGTAATTATTGCTAAGAAAAACTTTTACTTTAGTTATTAGATCGTTAAATCCCTAATGAAGATTTACATGACATGTAAAATCTAAAAAAAATTATGACAGAAACGGCTACTCATCTAGTTATAACTTTTATCGATGCTGATTAATTTCTCTAATCGAAAAAATAATCGAAATATTCATCATATGTTTATTTTTCTCGGCCCAAAGTCATGAGATAACCTTTCAATCTTTTTAAAAATTAATCAAAACTATTTTTTTTTTAGTTTGTCATTGTCAACCATCAAAACAACTTAAAACTAAATTATGCAAATCTTTTGACTAAATGAATGTTGAAATTGACTCTGATTGTGATAATTAATAAAAAAAATTAGTATTTGTGGCACCTAAATATTTAAAATCTTAAAATTCATTTTAGTAAAATAAGACAACGTGTCATGTACTCTTTTATTAACGACAGTAAGGGTAATAAATATAAGTTTTAGAATTTTGATGATCAAAATGAAAATTTTATAAAAGTTTAGTGACCATAAGTGTAATTAATCTTAAATTATTTCATCTTTAAAATATTCCTGTTGTGGCAGTGAATCGTAAATTGCAGCAGGATTAAGGTTATATTTATTGTTTAGAGCCGCCCACCGAGCTACGAAGAATCCGAGACCCTTCGTCCCCGTCGTGAACTTTGTCTAGCTTAGTCATTAGTGTAAGTAGTACGTTCCCTGTCGTTATTGAGTTGTGTGTATAGTACGGTTAATTAGTTAATTCAAACTTTATGTTTGACGATAAATAGAGTCGGATTGACTATTTTAGGTTAAAAAATAATATTTTTTAAAATTTTAAGAAAAATAAATTTATAAAAAATTAAATAATAAAAATATATTATCAATTAAAGTTCAAAAAATATATATAAAATATATGTTAATCTAAATGTTTTAGGAAATGATTGTTCTCACCTGTTTTGATTTATCCATAATGGTATAATTTTTTTTTATCATGAATCTTAAGTCATGTCATAAAATGCCATTTTCTTTATGAATATGAGATTATTATATTTATTTTGCATGTCACGTTAGGTTATATTTTTTAAATTTTATATTTTTCGGCTAGTTTTGATCTCATAATATAATTATTGTCATACTCACATAATCTATTAAAAGTTAAATATATTTATCTTATCGATATACAAATAGTTATAATAACATTATATTTGATACTATAACTAAGGATTATTACAAAATTTTCGAGTCAGAATTGAGAAAAAGGTATGATGCCTTCAGCTTTATTTTTTTCTTCTTTTTCATGATGATTAAAAATTTGTTACTATTTGACAATAATAAGTTTATTAATTATAATTTTATGTTCAAATAAAAAAATAAATTACTTGTAATCATTACAATCTTGATATTTTTATCAATAAATAATTATGAGTAACTAAATATCATGTATTAAAATAAGCACGTCAATATTTTTATTGATATAAAATAAATATAAAATAATATATATTTTAAAATATTTTTAATTATTTAATAGAAATTCATTTTGATTTTGTAAAGATATTTTGGAAATAGTAAAATCAGGTGACGCTATCGCTTTGGATAACCGATAACCAGAAGCAGAAGCTGCAAAGTGCAAACAAATGAATCAATGTCTACCTACACGTCCTTGTCTTCTTTCTTCTAATATTTTGACATTTTTCACCTATTTATTTGGATAAGAAAATAAACACAAATATAATTAAGTAGCATCACAAATGAGATGGGTCCAAGAGGTTTCAGGGAAGTTATAATTTTAAATATATAAGTGATTTATGTATTTTTTATTTTTATTTTATTAATATTTAACTTTATGTTACATGTAATTTTATAATTTTGTATTTTTAAATATTTAATATAATCTTAAAAATTAATTTCTCTAACATAAAAATATTGATTTGTATATAGTATTTTTTCTATAATATTATTTGTATATAGTCAGTGATGCATAAACGGGATAATTATTAGTTCTCGTAAGTAAAATCTAGATATTCAAATCATGTACGAATGAAGAAAAATAAATTATAAGAAATATTCTCAGGGATGGACGTGTTATTTTATATTTGAGGAAGTGAACTTATAAATATATTCAGGGACGGGTGTATGGTTTTATATTTGTGAAAGTGAACTTATAAAATTTTAGAAAAAGTTGAACTTGTAAAAAATTAAATATACAAAAATAGATTTTCAACAGAAAATGCAATGAAAATATTTAAAATGTATATGAATTTGAAATTTTTAAGGAAAGTAACTACCCTACTCACTGTTTCCTTCTCGGTTCATCCCTAATTATCTTCCTAATAAGTTTTTACAATATTTAATTTAAATTAATTTTTAAATCAAATACCAATAATGTTAAGAAAAATAAAGGTTGAGAACTTTGAAATTAAATTACAAACTACTTAATTGTGAGGATGCAAAATTATTTCCACATATGTACGTCTACTACTTTAAATTGTTCCGTCATTCACTGCGCATATAATAATACCTTCACATGTCAACCTATTTTGTTCGCTTAATTGGACTGTGTCCTTTGCAAGGCCATTAGGTCTGTAAATGAATTGAACGTTTAACGATTTGTTCATAAATCGTACAGTAAGAAGTTCATTTATGTTCATTTATTTATTAAATGAATGAACATGAACAAGATTTTGCGTTCGTTTAATTAAATGAACGAACATGAACAAATGGTTCGTTCGTTCATTTACGTTCATAAACGTTCGATTATATGTTCGTTTATGTTCGTTCATTTATGTTAATTTATGTTCGAACATGAGACAAGTTGAATATTTTACGAAGTTTATTGAAGTTGTTTGGATTCCAAGAATATTGTTTTGTTGAACAAATTAACTTTAATACTTTATTATGTTCATATAGCTTATTTATGATTTATGTATGTTTTTGTCGTATTCGAACAAATTAACTCTAAAGTTGTAAGTTATATTAATGAATTTTAAGTTGTTATTATTGTTGTTTACTTTTTTTACATTCGTTTGTTGTGTTCGAATAAGTTTTTTTTTGTGTTTGTGTTGTTCGTTTGTGTTCATTTATGTTCGTTCGTGTTCGTTTATTATTTAAATGAACAAACATGAACAAGCTATATTCTTTAATGAACGAACATGAACAAATTTTTTTTTGTTCATTTATGTTCCTTTATTTATTAAATGAACGAACATGAACATACCTCCGTTCGTGTGCGTTCAGTTCGTTTTCAGGCCTAGCCATTATGGTTGTTTTCTGTAATTTTTTGGTAATTTTTATTATAGATCACTTAACTATTAACAAGATTACAAATACATTATTGAATTTAAAAATATTACAAATGAATCACTTTTTTTATTGATTTTAACAAATATATCACTATGCCGTTAAAAGCGTAGATGGACCTAGGGGTTGGGGCTGTCGCCCGTTATCCTATAAAAATTTCAAATTATCACAAATTTTTGAATATTTTCTTTATATTTTTTTATAACTAGTTTTCACCCCTTTGAGTTTTACAAGTTTTTCCCTTCTTAAAATTTTAGAAGTTTATCACATAAAATCTTGTGTTTGTCTCTGATATCAGAAGTTGTTGTACTTCTAAAAAGTTCAAATTCTCATATATTTCAAACTTTTTACTAATAATATAATTTCATATATCTAAACTTTTATAATTTTACAAATTTAATATAGCTTCTTAAAAATTTAAATTCTTTAACCTAAAATCTATGTTCAAATATCACAACACAAGGAATAAAGAAAAAGAAAGAAATAGGTTCGTCAACGAAGTGGAATTTATGGTAGGCCAAAATTTTCCGACGTGAAGCGCGTCATGGGGTGTCGTCGGCATCACGCAATGGTCCTCTCAACCACTTCATATTTTCACACAAAAACCGATCAACCTAATTTGCCTACTTCGTATACATAGCCTTTTTTCATTTATTTTATATGTTTCAAAAAGAAAACATATAATATTAAAAGATTATGAACATACATATTATTCAGAAAAATATAATATTATCTTTTTATGTATAAATATCTCACGACACTAATTAATAAATAAATATGTCATTAGACAAATAAAAATAATGATATTTTTTTAACCGATGAAATGTTAAAGGTAAATGTTCAACTTTTTAAAATTATAGTACGTAAGATAACATGTTATATCACTTAAAGTCATGTTTTCTTTATTAAGTTGATATCATAAAATTAATAAACATTTTAACTAGTGATAAAATAATCATATTATAATGAGTAAATTTATAAAAAAGTCACTCAATTATTATACTGTAACAATTCAATCACCGCTGTTAAATTATAAACTATAACCTGACATGTAATATTTTAATCATGTGAAGTATATGTATTTTCAAAATTTACATTCGTGTCATTAAATTAATTCTAAAATTCACACCATGTGCAAAATAAAATCTAATCGTTTGTGGTTGATGGTGAGCCCTAATTCTCAATATAAAATCCACATCAATCTCTTCATTCGATTAATCACCTTAAATTCTTGAAAATATTTCTCAATAATCACAAAATCACCCTTAAAATGTCCACATATCTTGATCCTTAATATGCACTATTGTCTTTATCTCAAGATATGTTATTCATCTCACCAACGATAATCCCTCCACTATTCGGATCATAAAATTGACCCCCAATCTTAAAAAACCCAAATCACGTATTTGTAACAAGATTCATTACGTGATGCATTTATAACTTTTTGAAATACAATAACCCATTTGTAAACTTACTATTAATCATAGATTGATTTGTGTTGTAATTCACCTTTTATATATATATTACCTTTTACACACTTTAAAAAGGTATAATGTCATACAAAAAATATGTCTAACGTTAGATTAAATAGTCACTTTGACCCTTATTTTTTTTAGAGCATTTTAATCTTCAATATTTCATTTTGCCTTTAGTTTACACTCGATTAACATTATGAAATATGTGTTTTTATCTTAAAATAAAAAACCAAAATGCTCAAAAAAAATCAAGAAAGTGACTATTCGATCAAATATTAATCACTTTTTTCTTATAATAAGAATAAAATGTTTTGAAAATAATATAAGCCAAAACAACAATTTTAATAAGCTATGAGGGGGTAATTTTGGTATTATAACCTTTAAAAACACAAGTGTGAGAATACAATACGGACCATAATAGATGGATGGAAGTGGAGGTTGCGTTATCGTCCTTGGTCTGGACACTATTCATGCAGAGGCAGTACACAAAAGCGTGGGAAACAGCTGTGCTGTTTATATTAGGTCGTACGGTACAATGTATTTGGTCACTTTGCTTTGTGACTTCCCCCCAATATCACTTTCTTTTCAATCCACTATTCATACACTTTATATAATTTATTTACTGTTTGGTGCTTGAATTTATACATTTTGTCTCACTTCACTATCTAATTTTCTTTTGTTCCACTTTAGTTACACAGTCATTCACACGCACATTATAGGCTGACTATTTCTAACTCGAATCTGAATCCGAACTCGAACCCAGACCCAGATAGTTTGTGGAAGGTGAACGTGCAGACCAGTAATGGACCAACTACTAGAGTTATACTTAATTCTTTCGACATCATAGTTAACAAATAATAATGATTTATTTGTGAGGAAGGTAAAAGTTACCATAAGAGTCTTTATACAGCCATTATATTTTGGTATTTCTAATATTAAGGGTTAAAATAATTAAAATTGTAAATGCCGAGGACTAAAAAAGTTTTGTAATATTACGATTTACGGATGAATCAGTTTGTTTATTTTTTCGGTCAAGGAATTAAAATATAATTTGAGATGTAAATAATATTTAATTCAAAAATAGGTGTTTAAATTATATATTTTTATTTTAATATTTGAATTTTCCCTAAAAAATTGTTTAAAGTTTTTTCTGTTATCATTTAAGTTATTTACAGTTTTATTATATTATCATTTTAAAAGGTCATATCATCGACAATCGTTAAATCAATTATTACTTAATATGTGACATTAATTTTGATTAATGTTATTTTTAAAAAACAGAAAAAAGCAAAATTATAAATTTATTAAAAAAATCTCAAAAAATTCTAAATTCCTAAAAAGATTGGATATTAGGCGACTAGCAAAAGTTCAGACGTTAATGTTTTGGTTGGAACAATGGTATAGCCTCAATGATAATAATTAAACATGTGAATATTGAATAAAAAAACCAATCATGTCTGACGAGGTTAATGATCAAGCATGTGATCATCCTGTTCGGACGACAGCGTACGAAGATGAGGGAGTGAACAACTAGTGGCAGTCAGATAATAGAAGGGTTTTTTACATTCACCGTTTGCTTTTAATTTTACTTTTCTGACACCGTTTGACCAATATTTCCAGAACTAGCACCTTTTCTACTGAGTTGGCAAAGGCGCGTCCTGGGGGCGCGCTTTACTAGTGTTTTTCGCTGAGTTAGATGCTACGTGTGAAAGGCGCGTCCCCAGGGACGCGCCTTTGCCAACTCAGCAGACACGTATTTTGTTTTATAATAAATAGTTTATTTTTATTATTATTATAAATTAATAATATATTATGTAAAATGTTTCGATTATAATGTAAGAATTATCAAGTTTCCAGTATTTTTTATTTTGATTATCGATCTATTAATTTTATCAGTTAATTATTTAAATGTTATCAATCTAGTCATCTCATACCAATATTTAACGAAAATATTGATGCATAAGTTAATAAATTAGTATAATTACATATTTAATCTTCAAGACTTACATATTTTATAAAATTAGTCTTATTGAAAATTTAATTTAATAAATTTAATCCTCCAATCAGAACATGAAATGTGTCATCGTATACATAAATTTTTTAATAACTTTTAATTTGTTTAATTTAATATTTTTCTCTACTTAGAAGGTGGAATTATTATTATTTTAAAAAAATTATAACTAATAATATTAATTATTATATTAAATAAATATATTAAATATATTTATGTATTTAAAAGTTAAAAAAAATTATTTAGGTGTACATACATTGACAAATTATATAAATGCAAAAACATTAAATTATTAGAAATAAAAACATTCATTTAAATACAATATTAATTACATAAGAGTTAACGGTTATATGATGACAACAGAGCTGGACATTTTTTTCTATTGTGTCCGATGTTTCTACAATGCCCACATCGTTTTTGTTCTGTTGACTTCTCCCGAATATCCATATCACAATGTATTCTAGTAGATTTTGGACGACCTGGGTCCCTCAATAACAATGGATCTGGTACAATTGTAAGCCAAGTTTGAATCTCATTTGGGTCTCTTTCGTTTCCTATGGGCGGAAACTCAAATTCATATACCTTGAATACTTGTGAAAGTTGGTATACGGGATCAACATAATTTTTGTAGTCCAAATGCGAATGTGAGCAAGCAGCAATGACATGAGAGCATGGATATTTGAGTGCTTGAAAGAAACCACAATCGCACCACCTCTCTTGCAGATTAACTCTGAAAGAGTTAGCTTCAATCCCTTGCAGCGGACGTGGCATTTCGGTTGCACGAAACAATTCACGGGTGCGAGAAAAATTTGTAACTAACATCCCATTTGATGCAGCCATTTTTTTCTGTAAATCGGCTACTAGTCTTGGGTGGTAAATATGTCCGTTTTGCATCCAAGTAAGAGATTGTCCACCGAGTTTTGCAAAGAGTTGACCCAAACGAAAATAAGTCGTTTTGACCAACGCCGTGACTGGTAAATGACGCGCCCCCTTTAAGGTTGAATTTATTGCTTCAGCCAAGTTTGTTGTCATATGACCATAGCGATACCCCCCCGTCATATGCATTTGTCCACATTTCTTTGCTGATGTCCATAATGTACTCGCACCCCTTCTTATTTTTGCCAAACAGCTCTTGTAGCATCGACTCAAACCTTTGAGGTAAGAGTTCGTAACCTAAGCCATTAGGAATATGTAATAGTTAATATGAAGTATAAATAAGTAATAAGAAATTGATAGAAAAATTGGGAAAAAGTAACATACCCATCCGCACGACTAACTGACGTTCATCGTTCTTCTTGTATTTTTCGTAATAGTTTGCAGCAATATGACGGACACAATAACGATGTTGAACATGTGGAGGTCTATACATTGTACCCAAAGAGTCCATTGCTGCTTTTATCCCGGCTCCTCGGTCTGAAATAATGCATAGTCGTTCCCTGGTGACAACATGTAAACGTAAATTTTTAAGGAAAAAAGCCCAAGACTCAGTGTCTTCTCCTTGAACGAGGGCAAACACAACAGGAATAATATTGCGGTTTCCATCTTGGACCACAGCCAATAATAAAACTTGCTTGTATTTCCCATACAAGAAAGTACCATCAATTTGGACAATTGGTTTACAGTACTTGACTGCATTAATACACTGAGGGTAAGTCCAAAAGACTCAGTAAAATTGGCAGCGATCGAGAACCATTCGATCATTCACGTAATGATGTTGAGTTTCGAACTCAACAATTGTCTCGGGATTAAGTCTTTGCACAACATAAAACCAACTGGGCAGCTCGTTGTAAGAGGAATCCCATTCGCCATGAAGTTTGCAAATGGCATTCTGTTTTGCCAACCACGCTTTTTTATATGAGACAGTGTACCCATATGTGACTGTATAGCAGAAATCAACACTGCAACAACTATATGAGAGCTTTGCTTCACAATGGGCATGATTGCTTGACAAATAATGTTGGAGTCCAAGTTGGGATGATCCTGGTTTATACCTGTTGCACAACATGTATGAGGACCGTTGTATCTGGTTAGTTCCCATAAGTTGTTCTTCCTCTTCCTCTTTGATACACGGACCATCCATTGACATCCGTTATGACGTTGGACGCAGTAGCAGACATATTTCTCCGTGTTAGATCGATCAACTCGGGACTGAACTGAGTTACGAATATTGTAACTCTTTATTGCCATCATTGCTTCCTCCTTCGATGCGAACTCCATTCCAATATGTAAATTACCGTCATTGACCGATGATTGAAGTCCATAGTTGCCAACATCAGGAAGATCTGGAAATTCAGGCTCATACATTGCATCATAATCAGCCTCATACATATGTACAGGAAGTTCGGCTGGTGTTGTATTTATCGGAACGTCATCCTCGTCATCATCAGAATGTACGTTAAACTGTGGTGAGTCAGGTTCAACGAATAATCCCGTTTCAGCACCATCTGCACCTGGCTCCCGAAGAGGTTCTTCTGGTGGAGATGAGGGTTCCTCCGATAATCCAATGTTGAGGTCAAATAAGTTCCCGCTTGCGTGTCCTCCCCTTGAACTTGACGCCATTGTATCATGTGGGATGTGAATAGACTGTCGTCTCGTTGGCATTTCCATATGTAAGTCGAAAACATTGGCAGATGAATGTCTGCCCCTTGAAGTAGAAGAGATGTTGCCATATGGATTATTGGTGAAACCACGTGGGTTGAGATCATAAGCAGTTGCAGATGAATGCCTTCCTATTGAACTTGATGGCATGGTATATGGCGTTGGATCCGCCATTAATAATGTGAAATCATTATAGATCAGTTGTGTCGGGCTATCAACTTGATCAGTTTGATATGCAATGCCAAAGTGAGAGGAATATGAGAGACCACGAGTTGTACGAACCTCAATAAAAGTTGCATACATTTCAATAAGAGATTGTGAACTCCCCATATGAGCATCAACCATCATAGAAACATCATCATCGTTTGAAAGCTGAAATGATGTATACGTGAGCGGAAAAAGTTCAATAGGAAATCTGTACTGAAGTGAATATAGTCTTCTCTAGCCTGCTACATGAATCTTTAACGAAATTTTTGTGATTAACTCCTCAATTGTGATGTTTCTCTTCAAGGTTAAGGGGATATAATGATCTGACTCAAAAACAACAACCTCTTCAGCTTCCTTAATTTCTCCATCATACAAAACAACAGCAGAAAGACGACTCATTTTCAGAGAATTTGAGAATTTAGAGTTTGGGAATTTGAGAATTTGAAAGATTGTGAACTGAAGTTTGTTTTGAATGTTTATAATACGTTGCATATAATAGTGTCTATAATCGGTTCACTATTCACATGAAGGCGCGTTCCCGGGGGCGCGCCTTCCATTATTTCGTCAGAGAATATGTTATCATTGCCCTATTATGTCATTCATGTCCCTCGGGGACACTAGATATATCAGTACTTATTATTTCACTATTCACATGAAGGCGCGTTCCCGGGGGCGCGCCTTCCATTATTTCGTCAGAGAATATGTTATCATTGC